GGTGTTGAAAGCCGATCTCCACCGCATAAGATGTAACCCTTAAGGAGCTTTTCAAAGTTGATAAAAGAAACTAGGGTCAAATTTCCAACAGATTTGAATAGATTAAGCATTTATGGTGATGGTTGGGTGTTTTGTAGGGAGAGGAGAGACAAAATGAAGTTTAGAGAGAGAGAGAGAGAGATGTAATAGAAGTGAAGAGGAAATTGTAACGCCCCAATTTTTCATGCCCAAATGGTAATACAATAATCATGACCCTTTAAAGTAAAACTGATAATAAATCCTCATACTTGCATTACATGATGTAAATAGTCTTCATGTGATAATACAGTTAATCCAACAACAAGTAAATAAACAAATAAATACCCCAAAGGGTTTACAAGTTTTCAAGGCTTAAGCCCGGTTACACATAACGGTTATTCAAACCTACACAAATATAGCCCTTGGCTTACAAAACAGAGTCCCGCAAAATGAGAGTATTGTACTCCCAACACACACACTTCTACACCTTCAGTTAAGCGGAATCACCACATCTTTTCCTGCACAAAAATCCCGTAGGGTGAGCATAAAGTCTAGTAGAAAATCCTTAATAAAGTATATACATTTTATACAAGTCTCAAGAGATGAATGCACATGCCATGTCATGCCCTTTTGAAAATAAAACACGTCCTAATCTTTTGGAAACCATCATGCTCAATGATGTCATGCAATTTCTACTGTTCAACATTTATCAATTTTATTCAAGGGGAGGTAAATACAACTCTGTAAATCCCTAGGTTTGTGTCTGCAAGTAGACTATATAAGTACTACCAATTTGTCATTTTTACCAGTATTAACTGGAAGGTTCGACACCTATCCTCTACACCACCTTTCAAGACTTACCACCGTATTTACTCCAAAACCATTTCATGAAAACTTGTTTCTCAACATTCATTTCTAAATGCAAAGTTTTTAAATCAAATTTCAAAGCTCTTCATTATCAAATGAATTGATATGCCAATGCAATGATTAATAATACAATGCAATATTTCTTTCATTTTCAATGCTTCCACACAATATTCCTATTGTGATCAAAATTCTCATTTCTCATTTCAATGCAATTTCACAAGATAAATAAATAATTTTATTTCAATTCATCCAAGGGATAACATAATTCCCACATTTCAAACATTTTTAACAACGTAGTTATTTCAAGACTATATCAACACTTTTAAACAACAATTTTCAAAACTTCAACAATTCTCTTATTTCATGGAAAACCATCATTTATATGTAATAAATAAACACTTTTCAAACATAATTTATTTTGGCACACAAAATAAATATAACAACTTATTCTAAAGATTTTTAACATCTTTCTTAAAAATTCCCAATTTCTAGGTTTTCTCACCAAAAACTATTCATCTTTAAATATTTGAGAAGATCTCACCAAAGACATCTTTCTTTCATCAACATAGTTCAAAAACCCTCAATTTCTATTTTAAAAGAAACAAGAAAGTAAACTCACTTTCAAAATCACTCATCTTCTTGAATCAACAATCAATTTTCAAAACTAATCAAATGATGATTTCGAAAATCATCTAGATCTTGCAAAAACATATATATAACTCAAAGAAAATCCCTACCTCAAGTTTAGAAGAGAAGATGAGCAAAATAAGGTTGAAATTTCAAAGATGTCAAAACCAACTTCTACTTGGATCAAAACGAAGCTCTAGACAAGACTTACACTTAATCTCAAAGGACCATGGTGAAAAGATCACTTTAGGTGAGTAGATCTAGAGATCTAGGTGCGAAAAGTCAAGTTTTAGAGAGAGAAGAGAGAAATCATGGTTTGAGAGGAAAAGAGGAGGAAAAGTAATGAGAGGAAAGTGGTTTGGGTCTATTTATAGTAGTAGATAATTGCCCTAAACTCAAATAAAAAGGACAAGTCAAAACCCCCAGGGCACAAACTAACCCAAAAAGCTGAAAATTATACGCACGTGTCGACCCTTCAGGCACAGAGGTCGACCCTTTAGACAAAAAAGCAAAGAGTGCAACAGGTAAGGTGTCAACCCTTCCTAGACTGGTGTCGACACAAAAAAACAAGAAGCAACTTTCAGATTTAGTAACACACAAGGGTCGACCCAACAAACACCTCTATATGTTTAATTTAAAATGGTATTAAATAAGGTAATATATTATGGTAGGGTGTTTAGTTTAATTTATGATTTAATTGTTTTATATATGAAAAATTCTATGGTATACACCCTATTTTATGGTAATAAATTATGGTATTTAGGTGAGTTTGGGGTTGCTGCTGTGCAGGGTGTGCAGCAGCAACTGTTGCGCGCCTTATTGGATCCATTTCAAGGTCTAATTGGATAATCTGAACCGTTCACATTTTAGAAGGTATCGAGTAGAATATATTTATAAAAAATCACGTCGATCGGATATTGTTATCTCTTTCATCAAATCACATTTGCATTGAGTTTTATATTTCAAATTACATTGATCTTTTTTTTTTAATTTTTAAATACAAATGTGATTTGATGAAAAGGCCAACGATATCCGATTGACGTGATTTTTTACAGGTATATTCTACTCGATACCTTCTAAAATGTGAACGGTTCAAATTATCGAATTAAGCCCTGAAATGGGCCCAATATCAGGTGCGTAGCAGCAACCCCAAACTGTATTTAGGTTAATTTATGATTTAATTATATATATGATATGTATGTTTAATTTAAAATGTTATTAAATAAGAAATTGAGTTAAAATTTTAGATTAAAATTTAGATTAAAGTAACTTTATGGTAATAAATTAAGGTGCTTATGTCAATTTATTATTTAATTTATCAAATATGTAATTAAGATAAAAAAAATTATATGTAGTGGAGAAAAAATAGAGAATATGGCATAAGTTTATTTAAATTAATTTTGTCACCATTATTAATAGAGTTAGTTTTTAATCCAAAACTATAAAGGAGTTCTCCACCTATATATGAATCATTGGATAATAAAATGCTCAAAGACAAAACCATAAAAGGTAAAATAATTTTTATCTATTCTTTTATTGATATATATTTCAAATAAATAGTGGTGGTGGAGATAGTGCCCATTTAAATCGGGTCTCATATTCAATCCACTTAAATTTCATGTTAATTGTGTTTACAAGGCATGATATATCAAAGGGGCTGGACTTTGTGGAGGGAAAAAAATGTAGGGTCAGGTCCAATCAATATATCTCAGCTCAAATAAGGAAAAGCCCAATATGTAATAGGCCCAAAAATGAATATCAACCCAAGCAAAGTCTACTACACTCAGGCGCGTGAGGATAATGGAAAGTAGAAAGATATTCTTCTAGAAAGGAAATCATTGGAGATAACCAAGATCGTTAGATCAAGTTCCCAATTCAATGGATAATAATTGATGTTAGAAGAGTTATAGTATAGAATGAGGCTAGTAAGAGGAAGAGTCTTCGATCATTTTCATCCGACGATCATAATGCAAAGCAAGTTGGCCACTATGGCCTGATACCATCCTTGCCGTTCGATGAACATGGATCGGAGGATCAATAGCCAAAGCAAGTTGGCCACCAGTCCAAATGATCTCTAATGAAGGCAGAATCCCCCGATCAAAGAAGAAATTAATGATCATGATGAGAGCTAAATAGCTATAAAAAGAGAAGCATGTAAAGTACAAAGGGAGACCAAGGTAATCCAAAAAACTCATTTCACATAGTCATTTTCTATCTTATATTCATGGTCGATCAACATATTGATTTGATCATGGGAGGATCGTTTTGATATACTTAGATCGCAGGTGATCATTGACTTTGATTTTCTTACAGAATCAAGGAAGTGACACGTTATCTCACTTTCAACCGTGGAGATAATTTCACTTTTCACAAACTTATTTCAAATTTAAATTTGAATTTAAGAGTATTTGAGGTACCGTGGAAGCTACCATGAGTATTGTTTTAATGATCCAATCAATTCATTTTGGAGAGTTCTTCAATGTATATCATCTTTAAAAAAATTAGATAGATCTGATAATTGTATCATTTTTCATTTAATCGTGTTTGTTTTTTAAAAATTGACAAGGAATATATATTTTTAAAAAAGATTATCTATTCTTTTAGACACAAACACAATAAAATAAAAATATTATAATTATCAAATTAACTTAATTTTTTTTTAATTTTTATAAATGATATACATAAAGGGTTCTACAAAATGAATCACTCAAATTCTCTAAACAAAACACATGATAGGTTTTATAAGTCTCTCAAATTCTTTCAATTTCAAATATTTAAATTTACGAGAAGTTAAATCCTATTTAAAATTAGGTCCAGTTGATGACAACATTTAGAATTGTCAATAATAATACTATAAAATATCATAATATTTATATTCTTAGGCCTAGTTTGGGAAGACTAAATAAGTACACTTTTTGACTTTTTATGAAATATGGGTTGGGTTTGAAGTGATGTATTAGAGAGGTGATGTGACTTAAATAAGATAGTGACTTTTTGACTTTTTGTCTTTTTTCAATCTTCCCAAACTAGGCCTTAATACACTTTCCACATATTCTAAAATATTTTTACATTCAATACATTTTAATATAATTTTTTATCACTAACAATAATTCAAAAAACTGTTTAAAACTTTTTGCTTTAAAGTCATCTGTATAAAATCTAGACTGTTTGAAAGATTTTGAAGTGGCACGTGTTCTCTCCCTACAGAAAATGCTGACCAAATTGTCGGCTTTTGCTCTGTTTTTGGTAAGTGCTGTCACGTGTTTCTTCTACAAACCAGGTGTGAAACCTCATCACCCGACACGTGTTAAGATCGTACCATCCTCAGAATGCCACATATCCAAAACACACATTGCCACGTTTACGTTCGTTACGTGACGCACTTGCCCACGCTCATCTGTCTCACCCTATGTTACATATATATATAGAAACACCTTCCTGAACAAAATGAAATCTCTCTCTCTCTCTCTACATATCTACTATATCTATCTAACTCTTTCGAGTTCAAAAAAAAATCTATCTCTCTCTCTCTCTCTCTCTCTCTACATATCTACTATATCTATCTAAATCTTTCGAGTTCAAAAAAAAATCTAACTCTCTCTCTCTCTCTCTCTACATATTTATATATATACGTACTGTTGTTTGAGAGGGTTGGTGTGAAAGAATCAACAATGGCAACGATTGAAAGAAAATCATCAATTGAGAATGAGCCTCGGACTCTCAGCGTGAATCAAATCCAATTTGCAAGGGTAAGTTTCTAACTTACATGTTTCTCTGTTAGTAATGGTTCAAGTTTTGTGCAGATGACATATTAAATATTAAAATGAGATCTTATTATTTACTAAATTTTGAAAAGTGGATGCAATGCAAATGATATATTTACCAATTTTGAGTAATTACAGTTACCAATTACAATGGCCTCTCCTATTTATTTATTTTTTTAAATTACATTAGCCTTCCATGAGGTTTATTTTTGATTTGTAAATTGTCCCATTCCATTGACAGTTTTTTTTGGCAAAACACCTAAGAAGGAAGTCTTAAGCCCAAGCTGGTAAATCTCCTCCTAAGCAGAGTAACCTCCCCTTGAAATTTGCTTGATGCCAAAAAGCACAAGATTTTCCAAACCAAACAACCATGCCAAACAAAAAGATTTTAGTTTGGTTTATATAACATTTGAAATGATTATTTATAAATTAAGAATAAAAGAAATCAATTAATCATTTTTTTAGATAAATAAATTAGTATAAATTATTGAAATTAAATGTGAAATATAAGAACTTATATGTATGTAATTTAATAAAAGATAATTACACACAAGTCTTAATTTATGAATTTATATTGCATTAAATCTTAATTAAGATATTTTGGACCTTTAAATCTCATTAAATTTTTAATAGTAGTAATTATCCTTCAAACAATAATTGTTCATTTTTTATGATTATCTATAGAGGAACGTGATGATTTGACAGTTATTTAGCTTTTCAAATTTAAATATCAATTTTCAAATTGAAAAAACTAAAAGAAAATTATGTGGGAAAAAAACTAATCAATGTGCTTGGTTTCAGTTTTCTGAAAATTGTGTTTTTTATTTTTCATATTTTTTTTTTGTTTTTAGTGAATATTTTTAAATTTTAAATAATTTTTTTTAAAATTTTTTTTAGATACACCTTATTACTTAGATGTATCTAAATAGTAAAATATTTGTGAAGAAATATTTTAAAAAATTAATAAATACACAAAATATGAAAAATGTACTGAATTTCATATTTTTAAAATATTTTTTGATATTTAGTATATTTTTTAAAGATTTTTTTCACAAATATTATGCTTTTTGAGTGTATTTATGTTAGGTACGTCTAAAAATTTAAAAAAATGCTTAAAATATTAAAAAAAATTCATTGAAAACATTAAAATACCGAAAATAAAATAGTAGAATTTTCTGAAAACTATTTTATAGAAATCAAAACCAAACAAGCTGAATATTTTTTTTTTGAAAAAATTGAAATCTTTTTTTTTTTTTTTTTGCAAAATTGAAAATTTTGTGTTTATAAAAGAGCATGATGATGGAATATAGATGTGCAAAACTGAAAAAATAAAAATTAAAAATAAAAAAATTGATAATGTTTTCAGTTTTAAAACTGAAAAAAACTGTTAATGTTCTCGACTTTGTTGGATAGTTGAATCAAACCAATAAGTAGAATGACAAAAATATTTAATCTCATGCTCTATTTTTTTTATCAGTTAATGAAACAACTATTTGAAATATTACTATGCAACATTGATAATGTTTTTAATTTTAAAAATTGAGAAAAACTGATAATATTCTCAGTTTTACTAAATAAGATTTATTGGTTCAAAAAATCTTAAATATGATCTAAATTACCATAACATTTGTAAATAGAACTTTTAGGTAATTAACTCTTTAATAAATTATATATATATATATATATATATATATATATATCTATATTATGTATGTATTTATAAATAAATTATTTAATACTATTCAAATATATATATGAGGGTGTGTACCATAGCATTATCCTATATATATTTATAGTCTAACCATGTGAGTATTTATAAATAAACTATTTAATACTACTCAAATAAATAAATGCAATGTCCTGATTTGATTTTTACTAATATGTACGTAATTATTATTATTATTTTTTAAAATTTGTTTTATCATCGTTTTTGTCATAACAATAGAATAACATCGGTTATTCTATATATGCACCATAGGTTATTTTAAATATATACATCATTTTATGTGTACGGTATACAAGTTATAACATTTCTAATATTGAGATTCCTAACAATTATACTGGTATCCCTTCATTTTTCTAAAATTACATTGACCTCTCCTATGACTAACCTTCCTATTAGCGCCGTTAGTCATAAGGGAGGTCAGTCTAATTTCAAAAAAGGTAGAGGAGACTAATATAATTGTCAGAAATCCCTAAGTGATTGTAATTTACTCTGTGACTAACCCTCCCATTAACCTCGTTAGTCACAAGGAAGGTCAGTGTAATTTCAAAAAAAGTAAGAGACATCAATGTAATTGTCAGAAACCTCAAGAGATGTGACTGTAATTTATTCTTAAATTTTTGAATGATTTGATAAATGAGAAAGATGAATTAAATTTGAAATATGAAATGTTTCTTGCAATAATTTTTTCAGATGCGAATAGTTAACATTTTTATGAGTATTCTTGAAAAATAAAAAATAAAAATAAGCGTGTGAAAACTTACATAAATAGTGTCATTTATTTATTTTAAGAATACTGTCTACATGTAATAACTAATGACTGTCCCATCTGAATGTTGCTAAATAATTCTTGTCATTTTTATTTAATTGTCAAATTATAAAAAAAAATGCATTTGCACCTTTTATATGAATAAAGGGACGGACCCAGATTTCATATGGGGTGGCTGAACATATATTAGTAAAAATTTAAAATAAAAAGTATGAATTATTATATCATTTTTTTATTAACATATAAAAAGTGAAAATAAAATAAAAATATATATAAAGAAGCATACTTTTTTTTATTTATTTATCCACATTGAGTTATAAAATATAGCAACTACAAAAATATTCTATTTATTACAGTGAGGAACTTAGAGTTGTGTTTGACGCTAAAGTATCTACGATAAAATCGATTTTGAAATTTTTCATAATGTCTTTCTTAATGAACATTACCAACTAACTAACTGATGCGTTATTTCATAAGTTGGAAATAAGGTTTTTGTAATCCAGATTCCACAGTAGTTATAAGAAGTTATTTATTTTATTATATTTCTTTATTTTTTTTAAATCTCGTATTTTGATCTAATGTTTTATAGATATAGAGGAGAAATCACTTAAATTTTAAAAAATATTGAGAGTGGATGACCACCTAAATTTGTAAAAAAAAAAGAAAAAAAAGAAAAAAAAAATACTTAGAGGGGACGAGTTTCTATAATTTAGAGATAATTATAATTAATACTAATCTTTGTCTCCCTCTAAGTCCATTCTTGTATTTATATCTATTGTATGTATGTGCACGTGTATAAAAGTATTATATATGTATATAACATAAATTGATTTTGGGGGATTGTGGTTGATTATTATGATATTAATCGATCAGTTGTGATTGCAGGAAGCAGCATTGTATGTGTTGAATACAAGGAGCATTGAAGAAGCCATGAGGATTTTCACCAAGGTAAAACTATAGTTCCAAATGCCGCATCTAAAAAAATGAGTAATGGTCGATACATTTTACGAATGTTGAAATGTTTCATAAATATCCTTTATGTTCCCACATCTGATAATTGTTCCAAACTATTAAACAATTTGCTCATTTATCAAACAATTTAAAATTTTAGTTGTAAAGTTATAAACGTATAATAAGAGACACGGTTCTCTTGTAATTAAAAAGTTATTGATAAAATCAACGTGAAATGACCTCTTAATTAATGAACAGTAACTACTAGGTTCACTTATATGCACATGTGGGCACTGTCATAGTAGTTGATATATACATTTACATACTTGAAGTATTGGTACACATTATGTCTGTGTGTGAAACAGTTAAATAAGATTAGAAACTGTTCCAAATAGTTACTAACGTGAGCCCATTTCGTTTACGCTAACTTAACTGTTGGTTTTATATAATAGTATATATTTAGTATATACGTATGTATATATATATAGAAGGTGTACATGTGGGTGTGTAGTTACAAGATTTATAGTTACACAAGGGAATTGTAGTTACCCTTTTGTAATTGCTCTTGGGGTATTTTTCGAAAAAAGAAAAAGAAAAAGTGACAGCCACATCAACTGAAGTGCTTAAGTGCTGGCGTTAATAGTATAGTATATAGATAGTGTTTTGACAGCCAGGATTGGAGATTGAAACTAGGGTTTTGATTTGGATTTTAAAAAAAAAAAAAAAAAAAAGTTCCCCCCTTCCCCCAAATAAAAAAAAAAGAAAAAAGAAAAAAAAGAGCACAAAGTCACACTGCATTTGTTTACATAAATGAGTTATAGGGAAAATCTTTGATTCACACTAAATTAGTTTGGTGTTTCATTAGTTTGTACAATTTATTGTGGTTGGTTTTTCTAGCTTTGTGTATTGAATATGGAGTTATTCCTTTTATGGAGTTTTTGCACCAATTACAAATAGTTCAACTTAAAAAGAAAAAAAGAAAAAAAAGGTTTTGATTTGATGATTTCAAACAAAGGTTTTGATTTGGGGATTTCAATCTTTGAACTTGGTTCAAGGGGGGGAGCATTCTCCGGGTGCCTGCTTTCGTCTCCAGCTCTCTCTCTGGCGGTCTTCTCTAGCAACGTGCATTGGTGCCCCCCCTCCCTCTCTTCCTCCTTGGCTGGTGTTTATTTATTTATTTATTTGTTTTAAAGCTATTAACGAAAATGACGTCGTTTTGGTTGTACTTCAAGACCTCTAGGAAATAGTAATGAGCCCCCAAAGCTATCACTAATTTTTCCTGTTTAATAACGATTGCCTTGACCATTATTCCTTGATGTGGTTTTAAATTTGCAGGATTTGCAGCCAGTTGTAACTGTTGCAGAACAGAATGAGAAAGCAACCATTGATTTCAATGAACACAGTGAAGGAACCACCGTGGATTTCAATGAAGAGTTTAACTGTTTTGCTAATGAATTACAAATTCCATTGCCAAGAGATATTGCCTCTTCACCTTTTTGATAATGATTTAATTGCTTCTTCCTTCCAGTTTTTATATATTATAGTTATAGCATGTTTTACAGGGTGGAGTTTGCTCGCCCATTAGTTTAATTTTTGAAAAATGTTAGGGATACTAACAATCTTACTAACACACTCACAAGTTGAAGTGCGTCACATACTAAGTGATGATCTTATCAAAACTTGTAAGTGTGTTAGTAAGATTGTTAATAAATGTGTAAGTATCCTTAGTATTGTTGTTAATTTTTTGGGTTTAGGGTTTTATGAACTTTTAAAAGTGGTCATGTACCAAAATGTAGTGTTGTGTTTCAGTTTCGAACTCAATTGGGTAATGCTTTATTGGATATTGTAAATTTTTTATTTTATTTTTAGATATTGAATAGCTTTTTTTTTTTAAATGGATAAAATTCATTTTACCCTGAGGTTGGAGCATTTATGATTCCTACATAGTCAAAAAGTCTTAATGTGATTTTAGACTAAAGTGTTATGGTCAATTTTTTAATTTATTTAAATTAATTGAAAATTCATTTAAATTAATGGGACACTATTTATTATACTGGGCCTGATTTGTTAAACAAATATAATGAAATTAATAAAATAAAAAAATAATTTTATTCACATCTTTTTCAAATGTAAAATTAAATTAAGATGTTAATTTAAATAAAGTTAAATTAAAATACAAATAATAATTTATTTAAAATATAAAATATAAAAAATATTGATTTAATATATGATTAAATTAAAATATATAAATGAATAATAATTAAGGATTTGTCACGCCCCATTTTTTATTACTTAAATAGTATTACCACATTTTTATTATAATCTAATTTCATTAATAACATGTGAAAGCTATATGTATTAACGTTCGTAGATAAATGAAAATTCTCTTATTCATTTATACATTGAATACAAAATAAATTACAATTAAAAGAAATACCCGCAAGCTTATATTATTTCATAAAAAGAAAGGATTTAACCCTTTATAATAATGACATTCCACCAACAGATATAGGCCCCTTGGCCAACAATTTAAAAAAAATCCTTCGACCTTGTACCATTTCTCAACGTGCACCTAAAAAATGATTACCAACATGGAATGAATATAAAATATAGTAGAGATTCCAAAATGATCCTAAATAATAACAACATACAGATAGTTATGATCATAAATGGGCCACATCATACTATATAAGTAATGTGACAATTTTATTTCAAAAATAAAACATACATAATAAATATAATTTCTTCTCAAAATCTATCTTTTCAAGCTTTCAAGCAAAACCTGTTTATCGTCTCTTCATCTCATCAATTATGATTGAAAAGAATTTCTACAAATTATATTTACTTTAGAAAAACGTTTTTAAAGCGATCAATCATTCGCCCATTCTAACCTTCATCGCAAAAGTGATACTCACACATTCTAGTCATAATCTCATCTTACATCACAACTCACTACACACACACTTTTAAGTACAAGGGCAAAAGTACACCTCCAACAGTACAATACAATACAATACATCTATGCACATACAGATATATAAATATGAATAACGGAAAAAAAATACATACTTCCATTTTTACTGGCCTAAAGCACGAATGGCTAATGAAACAACCGACATAACAAAAGACACTTTACCGATCTCACCTGAACAGGAACGACCTGCAGGTCACACTTTATCGAGTGCAAACCATAAGGGAGATAAACCTATCTTAAACCGTCACGCTTTATTAGTCCCACCGAAGGGTAACAGACCCCAATTCACACTTTATCCGGCGCAAATCGGTAGGGAGAGAAACCATCTATCAAGGCACCACGCTTTACCGGCCTCACTTAGTGGGAAACGGACCCCCAATCTTATAACACAACATTCTAGATTACATCGATAATCTACAAATATAACGTATATGTATTCTATTCAACAACAACAATATTATTCTCCACCGATGACTAAGGATAAAACCCCTAACAATTAAATACACAACTATTTTAAATTATGTCCATAACCGATTCCATAATTTCAAACCATCAACGCCTTCAATGAAATCATTTCAAAACAACCATTTCGCCTAATCACTTTTCCTTTTTCCATTTTCCATTTTCCATTTTCCATTTTCCATTTCATTTCACAAAAGAGTTACAAACATCATTTTCTTTTCAAAACCAAACCCGTTGTTCTAACTCTTCAACACTCCCAACCCTTAGTCAAAACCCCTTTTTATTTAACAAAATTCCAATTTGTTGATACACAATCACAACTCAACACAATATAACATTAACTAAACAATCACAAGACTTGATTAACTTCTTTTTAGCAACCAAAGTTCTAATTTATTAATGAAACCTATAACCCAACAATTTCTCAACTTTAATTCCTTTCATTTTATTAAACCCTTAATTACAACTTAGGGATTTTCACTACTACCAACATAAACATGATTAACTACCTCCCAATTTACCAAATCAACTCAAAATCATGCTATTAAAACTTCTAAAACTCAAAACCCTAGATCCTCTTTCGTGCTTTAGAAAAATCCGATAACAAACATGTCTTTTAATGTGATAAAAATTATGTCTTTTAATGCAATAAAAATTATCACATGTCTATCTATAATGAGGTATTGAAATGATGCAAAGAAATCCCTACCTCTCAAAGTAAAGAGGAGAAAATTCAAAAAACCCACGGCGATGAAAACACGATATGCTCAAATTAAAAGGAAACCCTTACCGAGTTCTAAGTTTTGGTATATAGAACTAGGCATAGAAAATGGATAGAAATAGATGAAACCTAGGCTTGAAAGCTTTATGGACACAAAAATCGCAGAAAGGGAGAGAGAGGAAAGACAGAAGATCAGAAAAAATGAGGAAAAATGAGCCAAAAGTGTCACGACCCAAACCTGGTACCCAAAGGTTCGGCGTCGCAACAAGATAAAATAAAATAATTCTAAAATTTCTGTAGTGGTAGCGCAACGGATAAATTAAATAAATTAAAATAAAATAATTGGATACCAAAAGTTTATTAAAAGAAACAAAAAGTCATTTGGGTTTTTATTTTATTACAAGAGTCCAATCAAAATACAGATAGTACAAAAAAAAAAAAACAAAAAAGGAAAAGTGTGATGACTAGTTACGTTGTGCGCCCTTTCCCACATTGTTTACATTGGGTTTGCCTTTGTTAAAGTGACGGATTTAACTTGGAACCTTGTTAACCGTTGGGTTTGTTATGTTTGAAAGTTTTTCTCAAAATTCTTGTTCTTGTTTATTCCGGTGTTGAGTTTGACTTGTTTCGGAGGGTGTGGGGTCGGGTTCGGAGTTTCTAGAATTGAGCCGTCAAATTTTTGGGTTGGAGGACCAGGGCCGCACGTGCGGGGCCTTAGGCTGCACGTGTGAGGCCGCACGTGTGGAAAACAGGGGAGGGTTGGAGAGCACGCTGTAATATACGCAGGTACGGGAGTGGTAGTGCGGAGAAAGGACCGCACGTGCGGGGATGAAGGCCATACGTGCGGGAGGCATGCTCCGCACGTGCGGGCGTGGGTGCCGCACGTGCGGTGGTAGGTAAAGTCTGAAAATTTCTTTTTCTCTCATGTTTGGGCTGAGTATATCTCACTTTTGATATATATCTCTCTCTCTAAAAACTTTTTTCTCTCCATTCTCTCTACATTTTCCTACACTAAATTGGATCAAAACTTTGATTTCTCTAGATCTATTAGAGTTTTGCCCTTAGTCCCTTCACCAAAGTTGAAGAACTCCTCGAGGGTTACATTGTGTGTGGTGAAGATCGAGTTTCGACACCGTTGATTTTGGGGGTTTCATCTCATTTCTTTTTCAAAACTTGAGGTAGGGATTTTTTTAGAGTTATATATATATATTGATTTTAGGGTTTTCATCTCATTTCTTCTTCAAAACTTGAAGTAGAGATTTTCTTAGAGTTATATATATGTTTTTGCAAAATTTGGTTAAATTTTCGAGATCCATTTTTGATAGCTTTGAAATTTGAGTGTTGGCTCAAGAATAGTGGGTTCAACCTTATTTCTTTTAAAATAATCTCTGGAGAGTTTGAATCACTTTGGGTGAAGGATGATGTTCTCTTTTTAGAGTTTCTTTCAAATGTTTGTGTGTTGTGTTGTTGTGGTGAGGAAAAACCTAAAAATTTGGGGGGTTTTTAAAAGAAGGAAGTTGAGGATACATGGTTGATATTGTTAATATATATATATATATTATATATATTTATGTGCCAAGATGAGTAAAGAAAATGGGAAAATTTCTTGATTTTATACAAATGCATATATAGATGATGGGTTTCATAACATATGAGAATTGTTGAGATTGAAAGTTGTTGTCCAAACATTGCTATAGTCTTGAAATGACTAAATGTTGGGAATGTATGAATTATGGAAGTATTGTTATATATTGATGAATTGTAGCAAATACTTGGCTATTTTGTGAAATGGCATTGAAAGGAGAAATGAAAATTTTGATCATTATGGAATATTTGTTAAAGATATTTTGAAAGTGGAGAAAGATTATGTGGCATAGATAATTGTTGCATTGGCATTTCAAAACCTTGCATGTTATAAATATTGAATTAGGATTTGAAACCTTGCATTGAAAAAGAAATGTTATGAAATGTGAATTATTGTAATGTTTTGGGGTAAATACGTTGGTAAGTCCAGATAGGAGGTGTAGATGAAATTGATTAAGTTGGCCTGAGTGTCCGTGGTTAGCACCCGGTAAAGTGGGATTTTGGTAGTACTAGTTATGCCTACTTGCAAACACCAACCTAGGAATTATCTAAGTCATATTTACCACACCTTTGAACAAATTGTAAATTTTGAATTGTTAAGATTTCAATTATTAAACATGATGATTTTCAAAAGATTTAAAAATGTGATTTTCTTTCAAAAGCATAGCATGGCACGCGCATATCATATTATGGAGCTTGTGTAAAATGTATATACTTTATTAAGAATTCTTTACTGGGCTTTATGCTCACCCCTATGGGATTTTTGGTGTAAGAAAGGACATGGTGATCTCACCAAGTTAGGGCGTAGATGGGTGTGTTGGGAGCATAGGGCTCTTATTTTTGTTGTGGTATATTTTTTGTTAGCCAAGGGCTATAATTGTTTGGGTCTGAGAGACCATTTTTGTGTAACTGGGCTTAAGCCTTGAAAAATGTAAGTCCTTGAGGGCATTTTATTTATTTTGGATTTGATGCTTTACATGCTATAGATTCATGTATTTGATGTCATTGAATATATAATTCGCATGTGGAACTATTTTTGTACAAACCTTAATGATCAATGATGTAAATATTGATGAATCACATCTTTTCTTATTATGAACATTGGTTGGGGTATTTGTACAATGTTATAACTTTTGGG